CTCACTCCTCTAGATCTATTCATCCGAGCTACTGATGCTTTGGTTAAATTTGACGCCAAATTCAGTTCCCCACGGGACGAAGAGCTCGATGTCTATGTTTTAGAATTACAAGGAGCTGAGATCAGAAGATTATGGGAAAAGGTACAAACCACGTACGACAAATGCCAAAATTATTTAACAGAACAAGATTGTTCTAGTGACCATTTCACTGCCGCAGAAACCAAATGCGATGTCGCTTATAATTGCTTTCTTAGGGTTCTATCTTCAATCAATAGAAAGTTAGACGAACTTCGGGCTCCGCCTTCTCCTCATGTAGTTTCAAATGCTACGCATCAGCCAACAGGTGATGAGGATAATTCTGGTCATAGGCTAAATTTACCGCCTTGTGACATTGAAGTTTTTGATGGCGACTTCCTTAATTGGCCTACATTTAGGGACTTATTTTCTGCGGTATTCATTAATAATTCCGGCATTAGTGACATTAAACGCCTATGTCACTTAAACAAAAAGACCAGTGGCGACGCCCATGAAATTGTGTCTAAGTTTTCGCTTACCCACACAAATTTTGGTCTTGCGTGGAAAGCTCTAAAGCGTACGTACGACAATCCACGTATATTGGTGAACCACCAACTTAAACTTTTATTCGATTTGCCTGTTATAGATAATGAGACTAGTTCAGGCCTAAAACAATTGCAAAGGGGTATTAATGGGTGCATATCATCCATGTCAAATTATGACGTCTCCACAGAAGACTGGGACCCTATTCTAGTGTTCATATGTCTTCAGAGGCTACCACAAAATTGCGTCACTCTTTGGGAACAAAGCATCAAAGATAAGTCCGCTTTGTCTTCCTGGAAAGATTTGGATAACTTTCTTACGGAACGTATCCAAACTCTAACTTGTCTACGTGACATTCGTGGTATTGACAACGTCAATCAACCAAGTAGCAAAAAAGTTCGTCCACATTTCACGAATGCTGGCACGAATCGAACCCCTCCTTTTCCTCGAACTTCGCTTAATTCTTCTAGGCAATCTCCATCATCTCCCAATAAGTCTTGCATTATTTGTCCACGACAAATGCATCACCTAAGAATGTGTCAAAAATTTCTACAACTTTCAGTTCCTGAAAGACTAAATACCATTAGGAGACATAATTGTTGTTTAAACTGCCTGTCCGCTAAACATCTGGTCAACCACTGCAGTAGCCCATATAATTGTAGGGTTTGTAATAAAAGACACCACACATTATTGCACAGGGAACCTTCCACTGCTGGTTCGTCTTCGACGGCCATAACACCACAAGTTCGGAACGTTATCTCTCCCAATCAGCCCTCTTCAACGAGAGGGACTACCCCACGATCTTCAAATAGACAGGTATTTCATACCACCCACAACAACAAAATGCTGTTAGGAACAGCGATGGTTCATATTATTCATAAAGGTACTACGTACCTAGCCAGAGCTCTTATTGACCCTGCTTCTGAAGCATCATTCATTTCTGAAGAAATGCGAAATCGAACGGGCATACCCACAACTTCGAACATTTCCACTATTTCTGGGGTTAGTGGATTTGTTTCAACTACTTCAAATAAGGAATGCGAAGTCCGTATTAGTTCTCCCATTGATGCTACGCTATCAATGGAAACTAAAGTCATTGTCCTTCCAACCATCGCAGAAAATCTGCCCTCATTCACCGCACAAATCGACATTCGATCAAATTTGCCAAATCTACGTTTGGCCGACCCCGATCCCTTCTCTTCCCGTCCTGTCGACATATTGCTTGGTGCAGATCTTTATCCGAAGATCATGCTACAGGGTACACGTTCCAACGTACTAGGCTCACTAATAGCCCAGAGTACGGTTTTCGGTTGGATCATTACTGGTCCAATGCCCTCTTCCTATTTACGTCCATCTATTTAGGGATATACACCTGGGGGACTTTGAGCAAATTATGCTTCATTTTATCCATACGGATGATATTGTGTGCAAAGGTGTCGATAGTAACTATAATAATTGTGCTAGGTCAGTTTTCTCACGGAAAACTTAAAGATTACATCGCCTACACTTTTCCCTATATACATGCTACGCAAATGTAGATTCTACGATCTACATTCCGGGACTTCGTCCCAGTTGGCTAGTGTTACTTTTTTAATACAAATTTAAACGCTTTACGATCAAGATTCTATCATACAGTCCACCACTCTCCCAGAGTCATACATTTAAAATTATACTTCCGGTCACTTTCAGGTTGTTCTAATCATTTGTCACGCAAATGTCTCAAAATTGTCCTACAGGTTTACGACCTCCCATAATTTTCTTCTGGCATATTTGTGAAATCAAATATAATATATTGATGTTACGCATCATTCATTGTTGCAATCACTTCCACATCGTGGAATAATGTCGAATAGTAGAGGTGCACTCGGTATTTTCATACGGAAAACGGTACTATATAAAAGTTGTTGCGCAAATAATTATCATAGTCCATATCTCGAGTCGTCTTTTGCCACCTCTTTACTTTTTCGCGTAATGAAAATTGACCATTGATGGTCGCGATAGAGTGGGGCGTTATGGGACTATGATAATTACAAAACGACCTACGGTTTTTACTGGTCATTCTGGCCATACATTTATTAGTTATAATCCTCATCGTTTCGGTATCACATCTCTCTATTTTCACAGAAGATGGAAAATTTAGGTACGATGGCTGCGGTACCCCCGATATTGAAGACGACGTCCTCATGTCCGATGAGGAAAGGGACTACAACCTCACAGGTGTCCCCATCGCCAACGAGTCTACGCCCTTCGGGTCCCACGAAGCTGCTTCTCCATCGGAGAAAAATAATTTAAAGTCCGTCTTCGACGGTCCCTGAAGTTCCTTCAGGAGAAACGGTGGTGTCGCCACCTCTTTCGACACACTGTCGAAAGAACGTCGTCGACGGTCCCTGAAGTTCCTTCAGGAAACCCGGTGGTGTCGCCACCTATTTCGGCACACTGCCGAAAGAACCAGGGTTCGAAAAGAGCGTGCATAATGTTGTTCCAACAAAATCAGCCTGTAAACGTCCGTCCGTTAACTCCTCATTGCCTTCGGCTTCAAGTCCCTGCGATGTTACGCAAATGCTCTCAGCGAGAGCTATTGGTTTGGGACATATCGTTGCTCTTTCGGAGTCCATGTCCGGCGGCTTAAAGAATATCATGCTGGCTTGCAACTTGTCGATTCTCGGTTCAACGAAGCTGCAACGGTCAGCATGATACTAGGCCCAGAGGTTTAAAACAATGAATAAAGCCACAAAACTTATTCTAGCCCTGGTTTGCATGTAGCATTTAATCATCAAGCGATGGGCAATCTTCAATTGCCTAGCCGCAAGACTCGGCGAGTCTTTTGATTATAAAAAAGTTAACGGATCAGATCTTGACGAGACATTGCACGATCGTGCTCGTCGAGCAAATAATATGTTTTTTGAAAAAAGTATAAAACAAAAAAAAAAAAAAAAAAGAGAAAAAAAGAAAAAGAATTTACCAAACATTACCTACATGTTCATTTTGCAACATAGCAAGATGTTGCAGCGCGGGCGGCAATGATTATTTTGAAATAATTTCTTTTGAATTAATGTAAATTGTGCCCCCATCGTTATATCTTGTTCACTACCTTTATATACGTCTTTGAGTATTTCGTACTAAAGACAAAAGGTAGTAGCAAAATATAACGAGTAACTATGTCAAAGCGCCGCATTGTGACATCTTAGCTTTTAATAACACTCGTTCTTTGGTTCACGACCAAACAGCATACAGCCCTACACTACTGTAAAAAGGTAATATTAATTGTTTCACGAACAATTCAATAAAACAACCAAATCTACGTTTGGTCAAAAATTCTAAACAATTGTGGTTTTATTTCTATTTATTTTCATATTTTGCATCAACGCAAACAAAGGTTTTAAAAATAAATAAAAATATAGATGACAGATTATATAAAAATATGACAGATTATATATTACAGATAGAGGACATATAAATGATTTCTCTATTTCTGTTAGGTGACCATACGTGCTCTTTTTTAGAGGACAATCATCTATTTTAACTGGCTGTCATCTATAAAATGTGTGTCCTCTATTTCAATCATCGTCATATTTTGACATTTATTTTTTTTTAACCTCGATCAATATTTATTTCAGTAAATTTAAACATAGTATGTGCATTTTTTTTCTATAAATAATGAAATCTAAAATTTGTTTCTATTGAAAAAATTTTGATTGCATGGCTGCTACATTGAAAACGTTTAAATTGAGTTTCGTGACACTTTTGGTAGGTTTCAGTACCTATACAAATCTTCTATTAATGGAAATTGTTTCTTTTCAAGGTTAACGAATCTGAAAAGTACAATGTATTTATTTATGTAAATATGATAATTGTTTTCTAACATATGTAACAAATGTCAAATCCAAAAATTGTTTAATGTTTTCTTGATGTTATCTATTTTCAAAAAAATTATTTAACTTTTTTCCTGATGTCATCTATTTTCATTTTCAAAATCTGCTCGCCTTAATTTCTGGCAACACAAATTTCGGTTGGTTGTCATATACTATTAATCCATTAAAGAATTACAAGATTTTTTTGTTACAAAAGTAAAATAATATAAATAGTTTTCTTTATGCTTATTGTTTTATTTTATCCAAAATTCCTACAGCTTTTAGGAAAATATACTATTTTATAAGAAATATTCAAATATTTATAAATTTTTAAAATTTTCAGCACTATGCGGTTTAAATACTGTAATTTAATAGTTGGAATTAACACTGTATATAAAAACATTCCAATAAATAAAAATACATATAACTATATTTATTACTTTTATTTTATGGGAATACGTACACATTTCTTTATATAGTATGTATAAATGTGCAAATAATACGACTATATATATATATATATATCTTATTTAAAATTGGAATAGGTAGAATGTATTAAAATATTGCAATTAAATTTATATTCAAATCCGATCAATCAAATTGTGCGTAGGCATCTTGTAGTTTGGAAACAATAGCGGTGTAGAATTTTATTTGTTCCTCGACCAAAGACTTCAGCGTTTGCTTCAGATGTGTTTCTCTTTCCTTACGAAAATGTGACATCTCAGCCATAACAGCATATGAGACAATATCAGTACGACGATTTACATCTACCATTTGTGAATTACTCATCTTCTGTTCAGCTGCAAGACGTTCGCACTCTTTTCGTTTTTGCATAGCTCCTTTGTGCGTGGACAATATATCAGGAAAACTGTTGAGTATTCCCCTAAAAACACAAATAAAAATATTATTAACATTATATTTTAACTAAGCTTATGGTGAAAACCTTAATATAAGAGCTGCAATAATAAGTAGAAGCAAAAAACTTAGTTCATTGCATTTCATCAACAATTGAATGTGACCACACGCGCTTGTTTATATAGACACGTCAATTAAATAATACTTTTATTGGAATGCAAGAAAGGTTGAAGGATGAGCTTCGGGTAATGTGGACTATGCGTAAAATGTGGACTACACGCATATTTTACAAGAAGCTTGAAATATATCAAATATCAAAACTAGTTAATTTTTTGACTCTCCCCAAAAAATTAACCACGACATATTTAAGAACTATCTTCTTAAATTTGAGTAAATACGCTGACAGATGCATTAGCAATATGTAACAACATATAAAATATTGCAGAAAGTTATCATTTAAAAATGTCCGCTTTTAAAACTTTTTTATAACAATAAATTTAGAATACACAAAGAAATGTTTCATCAATACAACCGAAAAAAACAATTAAAGATTCAATGTTAAATACGAACTCACTCGACATCGACTGTCGTAATTTGCCCCCTGATTGTTAAAGGGGGAAACATATTCGAGGATGTTTATCAGTAATAACAATCGGTGTTTTTTTATTTTTTCTTTATTTTTAAGCTAAAATAGTTCTTTATATAAAAAAATCTAAATCGTATAGACCACTTTTACATGGGGGTAAGGCCAAATATGGACGTATTTTAAAACAATTAAACAATTATACCCTCTGTAAACCTGAGGGTATAAAAAAATCCCAATTTCAAATGTATGTTCACAAAAATTCAAATAAAGTACCAGTTAGTACACATTCTCAGTGTCAAAAAATTTAATTTAGTTTTTTTTTATTCAATTCGAGTCTACACTAATTCAAGAATGTCCCTACAAGTGAAAATCTCAAGAACTCTTGCTGTGTCAGCATCAAGTGACGGCAAGATTGATTCTCAAACTTTAAACACATTTTTCTCGAAGCAGTGTTTTCACGAATGGCGGTCACGATAAATCAAAAACTAATAATCCAATCGGTTCCAAATTTTGACACATTTCTCTGGGAGTGTATAGCTATCGTATGAACTAGAATAAAGTCAATCAATGAAGAACTTCCTTATTTTTTTACTTACTTTGTGGTCAAAAATCGGCGAATTTCCAAAAAAAAAAAAATGTTTCAAACGTCCGCCATTTTGTTAATTTTTGCGAGAAGTCAATAATCATAGTTCATACAAGAGCCAGAAATGTACTCTTTCTAACACCCTTGGAATTTCCGAATTCCGATGTTCCAGTGAGGACTTATCAAGCCCGCCATCAAAAATAAGGACTTTTCTTTAATCACCAAAAACAATAATAACCAAATTTTGGAAATTATTTTTCTTCTCTTTTAAATCTTAAATTATATATGTGTAAAATTACAAACCTTAACATGCATTGATATTTATTTAACAGCCCAATGAAATTCTTGAAAATTTAAAATCGATAAAACAGCCTGTTTTTGTAAAATTCCAAACGAACGAATTCGAGTGACTTACGACCAAGCCTTTATTTATGTTTATAAATGTTTTCTGAATCAAAACAAAAATAAATAACACATTTTTCAAAACCAAGGAGTTTGGTCGTAAGTCACTCGAATTCGTTCGTTTAGAATTTTACAAAAACAGGCTGTTAATATAAATTTCCATACCTATATACCTTAACAATCATATTCCAAATTTCATGATTGCAGCTCTATCTGTTCACCTAAATCCAAATTGTATCAAATTCAGTACCATTTAGTACACATAAGTACAAATTTCGATTACTACACACTTCATGCAATCCAATGGAAATCTTATTAATTAATTTCAGGATTCAAGCTCTATCGGTTCCCCAAAAATCCATATTGTACCAAATTTAGTACACATAAGTACGAATTTCCAAAACTACATACATACCACAAATCTACACTCCAAAAGTAATCTTAATTCCAAATTTCAGGATTCAAACTCTGTCGGTTCTCCCGAAATTCAAATTGTACCAAATTTAGTACACATAAGTACGAATTCATAAAATCTTAATTTACAGCCTGTTTTTGTAAAATTCTAAACGAACGAATTCGAGTGACTTACGACCAAACTCCTTGGTTTTGAAAAATACGTCATTTATTTTTGTTTTGAGTCAAAAAATATTTGTTTACATAAACAAAGGTTTGGTCGTATCACTCGAACTTTACTATTCCAGCTCAAATATCCCAAACTACATCCATACCCGGAATTCTACAGCTCTATCGGTTCCCAGAATCCAAATTGTACCAATTATAGTACCATTTAGTACTTTTCGTATTCATAAGTATAAATATCAAAACTACCTGCATGTCCTACACTCCTTCGTAATAAAAAGTTCAATTTCAGACTTTCAGCTCCATCCGTTCCTCCAAATTCTAATTGTACCATTCTAATTCTAATTAGTACCGTTTAGTACTTTTCGTATACATTTATACACACATCCAAACCCACCTCCTAATATCGACCCTACTTCTCAACCTTGATTGGCATTCCAAATTTCAAGCTTTTAGCTCTTTTGTACTTTTCGGATACACTCCATCTATGACCCTCAATCTAAATTTCAGAGGTTCGCCAAATACATATGGTACCATATTTAGTACTTTTCGTGCGTATTTGAAAAATATCTACTATGCCATTGAATCATTTTAATATCGATATTATGCCGTTAAAACGCTTGTTAAAACGTCATATAAACTTTAGCCTCTGAAAGAGGCTAATTCCAAATTCTAAAAATCAAGAATGTTTCTTCTAAGTCTACAGTTTTAAAATTCAATAACCAAGAATTTTCGAAAAACTCCGAATTTACAGAATGTTTTGCAAAGTTTTTTTTTCCCACTACATATTCAAATACTACATATCACATTAATAATACATATCCTTATGAACTATAGATCAAATATTTATGCCTTTCTTACAAAGTCGAGAGGTCTCTGAACATCTACGTAGTTTAAAACCTATTAACCGTCCAGAATTAGTCAGATACTTTAGCATTACCTCTAACGTTATTGTTACTTACCTATATATATGTAATCGATCCGAAAATGGTATCCAATCTAGCTTTGGTTGTTCTCCGAATTGTTGGCCAATTACACAAAAAATATCGCCGACTTTAGCTACTGAGTCGGCAAGAGATTTATTTCCCGATGGAGCACGTCTTTCATCCACTGCAAGAGATTTTGATAAATCTGATAAGCCATCTCCAATACGTTGAAATTCTTTCTTTGATTGGGATTGGTATTTTTTTGCCATCTCATTTGATATAGTTAGTAAATTTCGTACAGAAACATCCATTGTATGAATAAACTGTGAACAACTATCCATTTGAGAATCAACATAGGATTGCAGCAACTGCTTTTCAGGGGGTGATATTGCCCAACAGTATGTTATACCAACATATGTATCGCGCTCAGCTTTCCTTTTACCCATTTTCCAAACCTTTTCGTCAGTGCAAGTTAAAAAATGATACCACACTTCACATTTGGAAAGAACTGGATGCCGACAAACCCAATCTACAAATTCTTGCAATTGTACACGTCGGTGTTCGACAAATTGTTCCTCGTATCTTCCTGATATTTGCTTGTCTGGTAAAGGTGGAATAGGAATCAAGCAGAACTTGTCCACAAGTCGTTCATGCAACCAATCAAAATGTTTGTAACGTCGCGATACCTTAAAAAAAATAAATCAACATTGCCTCAATGTGTTAACAATTCAAATGTTTACAATATCACAACAAAAAATGTATTAAACGATTTCGACTATAATTTAATTTACCCAGTGAAGTTTCGTAACAGGAACACAAACATGAATATATTTTTAGCGTTATTATCCCGAAACAAAACATTAGAAAATATTATAGTGTTACTGTTCAGGAGCACAAGACAATGGTAGTGTACCACATTCTGAGACATTAACGATGCATGGGCGAACTATTTATACCCTTCACCATGAGGAGAAAACTCATGTTATGTTAGGACCTTGAATATACCGAAAAAATACCTGAGAAACAAATGATTACCAAATAGGGGCTAACGTTTTATGGGGCTATACCAAAACGGGGATAAACATTGATGATTTTGGGTAATAATATTAATAATTTTTAGTACAAGGAAGTGCTATACAATGGGAACCCAAAATTAACAATTTTTTTAGTACAAGGATGTGCTATACAGTGAGAGTCAAATTTGATTGAAAAACGTGTCCAAAATAAAAATTTTCCGAATATTGGGTGTACCGTTATATGGGGGCTACCCCTAAATTTTGAATCAATATTAATTTTTTGGTGCGTTTATGTGCTATACAATGAGAACTCAAAATACTAAATTACAGCCGATTTGGTTGAAAAAGGTGTACAAAATCCCAAAATAGCGTTTATTGCGGATTGAAAAACGTGTCCAAAATCCCCTAGATACCGTTGTTTGGGGGCTACATTTGCACTACCAAACATTCTAGGAGTAATAGCAATGTCTGTGCAAAATTGTAGAACTCTATTTTAGATATTGCGATTTGTATCGAGATTTCAAGAGACGGACACGCATAAATCGACATAGAATTTTATTCTGATTTCAAGGTGTTGGAAACGGAATGACAATTTTAATATACACTCCACCTTATGGTGGAGGTTGCTATACATATATAATATATATTTGTATTTTTTGTTTTTTGTATTGTTTGGTTTAATTAAAGTATAGGGTAAGTTATTGTTTTCCGCGCTTGTATTCCTAGACACTTCTTTACAACTTAATAATAATGTCAAGTGATCAATTGAATGTCAGTTGATCAATCGTGCTTGCCGACTTATTGTAACAACATTCTACACACTCCAACATCCATCCTGTTAATCGTTGTTCTATTTTCTTCGTTGGCTTTACTTTGGTGATTTCGGCGCAATCAGTTATGAAAAATCGGGTTAATTGAATATAAATGTTTGAACCTAATAATTATTTAAAATATTAACACATTTTACACCGCTTAATTAAATTCAGCTTAAATGAAATGAAAATTGAAAACGAAATTGCTTAATTGACAAAATTAGTATAATTTATTTTCGCACTTAATCGACCTGAGTTTCTATGAATTTACTAATAAAGATTTTATTTAATATTTTTGAGAAGTTAATATCTGGACTGACCAAAAAGAAATTTAATATAGGACACACAACTGCAATGAGTCAGCTTTGAACTTTAAATCATTTTCTTTCGGAATATAGACTAATAAATCAGAAACATATGCAAAATAAACATCCCAAAGAATTATTTTAGAAGTTTTTTGCATTAAGCTGAGTTTAGGCGCTCATCTCAGATGTTTCTCAAAATATCCGCCAATATTACCATAATCGGTCCACAAATGTTGAAGTTATGAGCATAGGAATTTCGGAACTTCAGAGGTCCATATCTCGAAAAGTATGTACTACCCCCATGATTGTCATATATTTTCGTGATCAGGGAGACGAGACCTACCTGTGGCAAAAAAATCTGAGATGAGCCCCTAAACTCAAATTGTGCGGTAAAACATATAATTATCCGGACGACTTAGCTTTATTTAAAAACTCGGATATAATAGATAATAGAACTGGTTCAATACACAAAATTTGAATTAGGCTCTTGAACCCATTTTCCTGGGGTGCATCCCAATTCAATTTACTTTCTTCACATTTCTTTGACAACATTGTAGGTGGTTTCGTTATGGCTGCATAATCTTTTACAAATTATCTGAAGAAGTTCGTTAAACTATTTGTTGGTACTTTAACTTTTCATTTCACCTATTACCATTGCAAAACTTTGGCTGATCAGACTTCGATAACTTCTAGAATCAATAAAAGCTTGTCGTTCACTTAACCAATTAAAACATTTGAACTTATTCGGACTGTTATCACTTTTCTGGACCCGTGTTATTTACATCGCTACTTTTCGGTTTTATCGCTATTAGAGTCAGTCCTTCTTACCTCGATATAGCTACAATAAGCGTTGATGTCATTCAGAAGTTGATTGCATGTAATATAGCTATTTGATATTCTTAGTTTCAATCCTGGATCGTTGATTCCGTTGATTATGTGCCGTTTTCCAACAGCATACATTCTGTAATAATATTCCTAAAGTGAACATTGGCTGCGCTTTTGTTTTGAGAAAATCTGAAAGAAACTTGTTGACAAACTAAGTCCAAGACAGAAATACTTCCTGCAACGAGTCAACCCAATACTGGGTCAGCACATTTTCTGCTGTACTGCAAATATAACTGATGCTTCGTCCCAGTTATAAGCTGTCTTTTATAATTCTAATAGATGACGGATTAAACTGTGGCTAAAGTTGAATTATCTGCTTATAGTACGTTTACATTATACCGGATTTCGTTAACCCAATGGGTTTAAATTGCCAATTCTATTGCAAACATGCCAACTAAATTCTCATAAAGTAGGTTATCCCTGTAAATGGTCCTAATGTAAATGACGTTTTACGTTCCCAAATGGGTTGTGTGAACATAACGCTGTGCCAACTGCATAAACGTTTCTGATTGCGGCGGCGCCGCACAGTGGGTTAGAATAGCCTGTTTTCTTGGATTAATTAAAAAATAAAATTTTAAGTATCGTTAAAATTTTTTGCTCCCGGTTACAGTATATAAAATTCTACATCACTTGTCGTTAAAATAAATGTCAAAAGTGGTCTGGTGTTTTTGTAGTGAAACTTCAAAGTCAAACTTCATAGACATTTTTGTGCCAAAAAAGGTTGAAAAAAGGTAAAAAACGTTTCCGTTGAAAATTTTATTTATTTTAAAAAGTATTGTAAAAGCTAAACATTTTTCAATGGAACCATGAAGTTCAGGTTATTTTGCAAATACTTCGTTAACATTTGAGTAGCTAATTGTGTTTGGAAGTGATTTAGATGTAGTTATTTATATTGAAAATGCCAAAAAAATAATATTTTTATATTTTGCCTTTTAGAAGCAATACAAGTGTTGCAGCAGTCAAATTAGCTGAACGTCACATTGATCTCGCAACTGGTGCTGTTGTTGTGTGTTGTGTTTTGTTGTTTTTCATGTTATTTTTTCTAATTATTTGTGCTCTTCTTTTCCGTAATTATTGTTGTTATTTTGGTTTTTTTAATAATATTCTTTGTTACAATAATATTTTGTTTTTGTGATTGTGTTGTGCAGTTTGAAGCCGCGGACAGACATGGCCTGTCAGAAACAGTGACGTAAATGACATACATTTCCGACGTATAATACATACGCCAGAAACGTCGGAAACCCACTCAAACCATTAGGTTTTTGATAAAAACTATTTACATTTATCGACTTGGAAATAACGCATGCTTTACTCAAAACCATATCGAATTTCAAATTTTTTTTTTTTCTAAAAATAGTTCAGAATTTTTTATCAGTTCTAGTAAAGAATAGCCAGATATACAGTAAAAATAATATATGTTCTTGAAAATTACTGTATATGGTGATAATATTGAAATAAACGACGTTTACTACATTTTATACAGGTATATGACGTTTACACATTTTTGACAATCGAAAACCTGAAAATTCGTCATACGGACCATTCCTAGCTGCGAATGATGATGATGTGAATGATTAACTTTAAGATGTATAAAATTCAATGTTTAAGTTCTCATATTGTACTCCTTGCACTATATACCTACACTGATATTTGGCATTAATTAATAAAATTATACTCAAATATACTTACAAAACTTTTTTTAACTTATTTTAATGGTATTAACTGAAAAATAAATAGAAATTATCCTAACATAGCTTCCCTGATTTGATCCAAGAAAACATGGTACTCTAAACCACTGTGCGCCGTTGCAAATATCGGTGGCTGCGCATACACGTTGTGTAGCAGTCGACGGTGTCGCTGTTGTGAAATTCGCATGTGTCCGTGTATGTGCTGGTACGTTGTAACATGACGTCACTACAATTTCGTTGAACTTCGTAGAAGTTGAACATGCACATGCAATGAAGATGTTGGTAAACCATCAGAAGCATTCGTGTGGACCGTTGGAATATATGACAGTCTGAACAGCAGCAAATGCCATATTCGTTTGGACATACGACGGAATCGAAAATGATTCCGGTAATACTGTCACAACGTTTGACAAACTAAGCACTATGCCTTGCAAAGTCATAGTACCATCCGTTGTCGTAAACGTGTTCAAAAGTTTTCATTTGGCAACCCTGTCGTGAATGTTCACTAATTTTGTGGTGCTCTGTGCTCGTTTAAAAAATATTTAATTTCTAACAATATAATCTGTGTTTTTGTGGTAACAGTGTTTAAAAGTGTTGTGAAATAATTTTTGTGCATTTTGATATAATTGGAAGTGTGAAATATAACATATTTTTCCTAATATTAATTAATCTTTTAAATTCTAATTGGCATTTTATTTCCATTCCCAATTTGTTCCTTTGTTGCATTAGCTTATATTGTTGTTGTAACATTTTTTTATTTTATTTTGTTTTGTTATTTTGACATCTCAAAACAGAGTTGCCAAATTTTGTGTTTCATAAGAAATTCAAGGGATAGAAATTCCAGTAAATTCATAAATTATTTAAAAATAATAATTTTTAAAAATGGTTTGTCCTTACGAATTATGTAATATTTCCGTAGATGATGAGTTGTGTGTCACTTGCTGGTTTTGCCTTAATCAATGGCACGTTAAATGTGCTCG